CTCGACCCCGGCTGACGGGTAAACGTGGCCAAGTGTCGGCCCGTCCGAGCACACGTACAGTGGGTCACCCGCTGACTCGCAGGAGTGAACTGGTCAACCCCTCCATCCTGTAGATCAGCACCACTCACCAAGTTCGTAGAGAACGAGGGGTAAAGACCAGACAGGGTGCCAGAAGGGTCCGCCGGACACCGCAAGACAGTGGAGAAGTGGGCAAGGACAGGACCCCCCAGAGGGGTCCGCCAGGGAGACCGCAACCGGCCGACTAAGCGGCGTGAGTATGGTGCGGTCTCGAAAGAAGGAGCGGGAAGCACCCGAGTCAAGGGTGAAGGTGTGTAAGGCCTGAGGCGACGTGGTACCTGAGAGAGCAGACTCACCAGCACCTGGGGCAGCAGACGCACTAGCACCTAGAGCAGCAGCCTCACCAGCACCTAGAGCAGCAGCCTCACCAGCACCTAGAGCAGCAGCCTCAATGCCCGGGTCAGGCGGAACACACAGGTAACAGTCACCCTCATCACTAGTAGACACAACATACATGGCAGCAAGAATATCATCATAATCCAGATCAAAGATAGCAACCCCCGACCTAAGCAGCTCGCCCCAGCGGGGGATCTCAGTAGCGTCAGGGAACTGGAGACGCCAAGCGTCCGTCAGGCGGCCGAAGCAGCGCTGGGTGGTGTGCGGGCCACCGCACGGCTCACCAGTGCGGTCGCCGGTACGCAGGACGTAGGCACAGGGACCAGCACCCCCACCCCGCTGACGCGCAGCGTACCACTCACGAAGCTGCTGGGGGGACGGGGTCTCACGAGTGCGCTGCTGCTGCTGGCGCTGACCACCACCGAAGCCGCCCCGCTGCGCAGAGCCACCCCGACCAGCTCCACCGCCGCCGCCGCCACCTCCGCCACCGCCTCCTCCTCCGCCTCCTCCGCTCCCACCGCCACCGCCGCCTCCGCCTCCGCCTCCACCGCCGCCACCGAAGCCCCCACCCCCGCCACCACTCCCACCGCCACCCCCACCCCCTCCGCCGCCTCCACCGCCACCTCCACCGCCCCCGCCAGCTCCTCCAGTGCCCTTGCCCCCCTTGCCCTTGCCGGTGCGGCGTCTCCCGCTAGGGGCAGACACAGCGCCGACCGACTCGGTGCCAACGAAGTCGACGGCAGCAGAAGAGGCAACAGAGGGCAAAAGGGGGGAGGGGGAGCACCCCTCAAAGAAGGGGGTACGAGGGTCATCCTACAGCGACTATACTCTTCTCAGCTGCCAGGAGGCGCTCCTCGAGGAGGTCAACGGTGAGTGTGGTGGGGCAAACAGAGAGGAAGTGGTCCTTGACCGAGCGAAGGGAGTCAGGGAGCCGGGTGACTATGTAGTAGAGGGTGATGTACATGGGGGGGGGGTTCTTGGCGCAGAACTCAGCAGGAAGCGCAGCGCGGTAGCGGGTATCACTAGTGCGAAGGTGCGTAATGAGGTCAGCGACTGTGGGAAAGGCGGCGAGGTCAGGGAACAGGTACGGCAGCATGAGGCGGCTAAGGGCAGCAGTGGCAGGGGAAGAGTAGCGTGCAACTACAGCGTCGTACAAGGTCTTAGCACTCTTGTACTGACTAAAGTGTGCGCGCTCAGTGGACGGCAAGTGACTACGCACAGCAAGACGGGCAGCAGCATCGCGTATGGCCCACTGGGAGCGAACAGTGCTGTCAGTATCGGCAGTAGGGGCAGGAGAGGCGCCAGACATGAGATCGAACAGTGAGAGACCGTCTTTCCTATCGCACTGCAGGAAAAGCTGCAGATCATCGACCCAGACATCAAAGTCGACAGCCCGACCCTCAGCATCAAAGGTGAGAACGCTAGGGGTAGCCATGACAGCAGCAGCAGCAGGCTAGTAGCAGTGGCAGCAGGCGCGGCTCGGCGGTGCTCTTACCAGGGCGGGTGGGTAGGGGCCCGCAAGTGGTGGGGAAGGGCCGAGGCGCGTCGGCAGGGACAGGGCCGCAACGGCGGCGGCGGCTCCTGCTGTCAGCGGCGGCGGAGGTTGCGGCCTCGGCAGCGGCGGTGGCGGCGGTCATGGCAGCGGCGGCTGCGGCCCCGGCAGTGGCGGCGGCGGCTGTCACGGCAGCGGCGGCGAAGGCTGCGGCTGTCGGCGGCGGCGGTTGCTGCTGTCGGCGGCGGCCGCTGCTGTCGGCGGCGGCTGCTGCTGTCGACCGCTGCTGTCGGCGGCGGCGGCTGCTGCTGGCGGCGGCTGCCGCTGTCGGCGGCGGCGGCGGCTGCTGCTGTTCGCGGAGGAGCCGAGAAGGGGCCGGTAAGGGCGGCGAAGGGGCCACGAAGGGCCGTGGAGAGGCCGCGAAGGGCGGCGACGGGCCGAGGCGGGACCGTGAGGGGCCGCGAAGGGCGGCGACAGGGCCGAGACGGGGCCGAGACGGGGCCGTGAGGGGCCGCGAAGGGCGGCTACGGGGCCGAGAAGGGGCCGCGAGGGGCCAGAAAGGGCGGCGACGGGGCCGAGAAGGGGCCGCGAAGGGCGGCGACGGGGCCGGGAAGGGCGGCGACGGGGCCGCGAAGGGCGGCGACGGGGCCGCGAAGGGGCCGCGAGGGGCCACGAAGGGGCCGCGAGGGGCCTGAAGGGGCCGCGAAGGGCCGTGAGAGGGGCCGTGAGGGGCCGTGAGAGGGGCCGCTACGGGGCCGTAAGAGAGCGCGACGGGCCGCTAAGGGCAGGGGACGCGAAGGGAGGGCAGGCACACGGGGCGCGACTTGGGCAGGAGCGAAGCGCGTTTCGGGCAGGAAAAAAAAATCGATTTTCGGTGGGCCCTAGGAAACGTTCCCACTACGGAACCTGCTCTATACCATGTGAAAGAACGAGGAATGAATGCACTAGGAAACAGGTGGGTACAAGTAGGAAAACCTAAAAGTGTTGTACCCCATATTGTCTACCCCACTACAGCCTACACAGACTATAGCATATAAGTTTGACAATATATATACATATACCTGCATGCATGTTTTTGCTAGGTAGTGATCACTGTACTGTTGTTGTTGCATATATACCTCTGCATGTGAACTGGCCTTGTGGCCCTCTTGCTTGTTCTCGGAGTGTGTGGTGACGTTGTGATCCACCCTGAGCTTGCTTTGCTTTTCTTGACTGGTCTTGTGACCCCTTGTTCTCCCCCACTTTGCCTATGGGGGTGTGTCAAACCATATTCGTGCTAGTTGTGTGTAGGATATTGTGGGGTAGCCCATATGGGGTGCAACCCAATATTAGGGTTAGTACTTGTACCCACAATTAATTTAATGCAACCATTCCTGCTTGCTGTCTTGACACTACGCGGGTGCCATGGCGGCATAGGAGCTTCGCTGGTTCACTTTCTTGCTCGCCGACCTTGGTGAGCGGCCTCGCTCTGCACCGACCTTGTACGCTGACAACAACGCTATGATCCTCCTGTGTCGAGAGCCTTGACTAGAGAGCAGAGTGAAGCACATTGACGTGAGGTACTTTCTTCTGCGAGAGTCGCAGCGACGCGACCAGGCACGCTTGGACTTTTTTGCCTCGGATGCCAACACTGCCGACGTCTTCACCTAGGCCTTGGTGCCTGGTGACCACCACAAGTTCCGTGTGCAGCTAGGGCTTGTTGAGGTAGGCCCTCGGTTGCTGTAGTCTTGCTGTTTGCTCTACTTGTTTTGCTTTGCTATATATCCTAGTGAACTCTCGAACTGGCCTTGTGGCCGCTTGTTTGTGTTCGGAGTGTGTGGTGACTTTGAGCGCCACCCTGAGCCTTGTTCTGTTGCTTGCTCTTGACTTGTTCTGTGACCATCTGCTGTCAAATGTTTGTCTCCTTGATGTCCCTCACTTAGCCTATGGGGTGTGTCAAACTATAATAACTCTTCTAGGGGGTACAGTTGTTAGGGTTGCATATCTGTACCCTATCCTTTTCTATTCCTATCATTCAGTTGTGCATACTTCTTGAGATAACGCTCTATAGCGAAAGATGCAAAATGTGGCGCGGTGTTGTAAGCTAGCATATGCAGAGCTGACAGTGAGGTTCAAGCTAGTCCCGAGGCATAGGTCGACTCAGCCTTATACAAAAGCTTATGGTTTGGCAAAAGTAGCGCTCGATGCGGCGCACACCGCTAATTAGCAACGGGCAAAGAATATTCGGACCTGTGAACAGCATTGTACGTGGCGGAATAGAGTGTGCAGTAAGGATTTTGCGAAATTCGTTACAGTAGCATCAATGCACCTCCACGGGGTATGGGGTTCATTGTCATTGCCTGCAATTCACATTTTCTTGTAAAAGCCTTCCTTCAGGCGACCTACACCTTGTGCAAGTCCTGGGTGAGCTTAAAACTTGAACCCGTCTTGAGCACGTTTGACGAGGCCACGTCACCCGTCCTTTGGCGACCCGTCGACATCGACATCAGCTTTCCGCCCGCTGGCTGTCAAGCCCACGAAAGGCGACGCGCATGAGGTGTTGGAGGCACGATGGAGAGCAAGGGCGGAATTTGCGCACGAGTCACACACAACCATGCCTTCGCGAGTGCATATGTGAAGTGAAGACTCGAGTTGGCCTCGCCGTTTCGCCTCACCAAAAACGCCCACGCACTGGCGTTTTTCTTGCTGCAGTCTGCGTGAATTTCGCCCTTGGTCTTGTTCGCTACGCATCACGACTGTCGTTTATTCCTCTCCCCTCATCACAATTTCCCTGCCAATTTTGCTAGATAGCCCTGGTGTTCCGTCACCTTGTCCTCGCCAGAGATCGAGCGATTAGCTAGGGCCGTTGGTTTCTGCCATCATCACGAGTAGAGGGCGATGGATGCGTTAGACATCTCGACAGGTAGGAGAATGAATCAGATTTCAACAAGCCTAATGTAGAAACCCATCGTTAGGACGGCCTCCTCTCACAATATCCCTACGACCACAACGCCTTGCTTCCTCCATCACCAGGTCTTCCGCTCTCTCTTATACGGCCACACACCGCCCCGCAAAGCTCGTGTGTCGCGGCCCATTACTGGGCGCGCCGGCCGCCATGTCGACCATGACTCTTTCCATGGAGCCCGTGCCGCCTCCATCGCACAGCTCGGGCGGCATGGCGCACGCGCGCGTGGTGCGCGAGGACAGCATGGACCGCCTTCACCAGCTCGCGTCGCACCGCCCCGTGCTGCACCGCCGCCACTCGCACAACCACTCGCGCCAGTCGCCCAAGTCGCTGCTGCAGTCCAAGCCCGCGTCCGCCGCGCACCGCCTCGTCTTCATGCGAAACTACAAGCAAGGCTCGCCCTCGCAAACTCTGTCGCATGGCAGTCCCACGGCCGTCGCGTCACGCGGCGACAGCAGCAGCGTCGGCATCGGCACGCCTCAGCCGTCGCATCACAGCCGGTCCACGGACAAGCCGCCGCAGGCGTCGACTCAGAGCGCGGAGCCCACGCCGCTGAAGGAGATCCGCCGGCAGCACAGCTGGCCGCTGCCGCCACAGCCGTCCTCGTCGGAGGCGGCGGCGCCAGCGACGACGGCGACGCCGGCAGCGACGGTGACAACAGGACAGCGAGCGGCACCAGCGTCGTCGGTGCTGCGGCAGCCCGCTTGCTCGATGGTGGAGTGCAGCGCGCGAGGGGGGCCGAGAGCGCGGCGGGAGGAGGAGGAGGAGGTGTCGTCGTGGGCGTCGTCCGTAGAGGAGAAGCCGCTGACGGCGGCCGCTGTGCACGTGGGCGACAACCGCAAGTACGACATCGTCGCCGTCGGGTTCTGGCTGGCGGCCCTGCAGCAGGGGTGCCCGCTGGTGAAGCTGAGTCGGCGCAGGCCCGGGCGAACGAAGCAGCGCAACTACTTCGTCTACGTGGAGCGCACTGGCGCGGTGCGTGTCGAGGCGAGGCTGCTGTGCGCAAACAAGGGCATCCATAGCCCAATGAACACTTGTCACTGTCTGTTTCGCTGTGCATCCACTCTCGCTCATGCTTGTCTCCCTCCCGTCCATCCCCGCGCATTGCTCGTGCAGATTCGTTTGCAGTGGGACAAGCCTCGCCTGTTCTCCATGGGCTCGTCCGCGCCAGGTGCGCATGCCCCTGCCGCCCATGCGCCATGCATTCCCATGTCATTCACCAACGAACACCATGCCATGATGCCGTTCCATGTAAAAATCCCCGCATGCATAGCTCGGCTGTTTTCCATTACTAGTCGCGGGATGAAACGCGGCCTGGCGCCACCACCATGCGCACAGCCTAGGCCGCGTTTAGCGCCATCGAGCCGTGTTTTCAACAAGCGCGCTTTTCACATCCAAACCATTCAGCCTCTCAAACTTCTCCTTCTTCTGGCCCCCTCCCGCCTGCCGCGGCGATCCCTGTGGCGGGCGCGCAGTGCATCTGTACGGCACGGAGGCGACGGACGCGTTCGCGATGGAGTTTCGCATGTACACGTCGGAGGGGCAGATCATGATGCGCGCGCACACGGACGACTGGTTCCAGATCTGGATCAAGGGCATGCGCTCCATCATCGAATACGCTAAAGTTCTATCCTGGACTCTTCAAATCTAGGCCGTGCACACTGGCTTCGCATTCGTACGTACGACCTTGAGAGTGACGGGCTTATCCGTTCCCTACACACGCAGTTACGCCCTTTTCGGGCCATCGTGCCTGCTCGAAGTGCCCAGCTCGCCTACCCGTGGTGGAGTCTTGGGAAAATACCATTTCTAGGGAGGAATAAAGTAGTCTGGACATGCAAGTGCGTCAAGAATCAACTATTGCTGGTATTGTTGCCTGGGCTCCCTGTCACGTGGAAGTAGTTTCCTTGTCTGTACAGATTTTGTAGACAGTCCTGTCCGTTGGAATGAGATCTCCGACTGCATTATCATGCAACATCTGTGGTATATATAAAAGGAAAAGAAGCTGGTAGGGGATGTGTAGGAGGGGAGAGGGGGGAGGAAGAGGGAGAAAGGGGGAGGAGGGGGCACAAAGAGGGGAATTCCAAAAGCGGGTGTGATAACAATAAGCAGCTGCATCCGGCTTGGTTGTTTTGATCCATCTTCTAAGGGTGCGTCAGATCCGTTGTCGGAAAAATCCGGCCGGCCGGAATTAGCGAAGGTAACACATTCGCGACATCCGCAAAGATCTTCGGAGAGTTCGCCAAATCCGGCCATTTGTAAAAAATTTGATGGCCGGTTCAGCATTCGACAAAGTTCCGACGTGCAGTCGACTCGAAAGTCGACCAATTTGTCGACCTGAGATCGCTACAGTCACTACGCGACGTCGCCAACTCGTGCGACGCAACGTGTCACACAAGTACTGCATCTGCGATTCCGTCGCACAATCCAGCGACCCTGGCGAACTGCAAATCTGACACATTTGCAAAGCGGCCATCAAATCGGCCACCAAATGTGTCAGATTTTTCGGCCCTGTAAATGTGGCCGGATATTGGTCGTTATTGAAGTCGACCATGTTGTCGACTTTGGCGAAAGATATAGTCGACCAAATTGTCGACCAAATTCCGGCCAAATCACCTTGTAACGGATCTGACGCGCCCTAAGAGACATTGCCATGCCAGCTACCCTCATAGATCCGCCTGTGTTGCCAGGAATTTCAATCTTCCGTTACATTATCTTCAATAAGACGAGGGCTTCACCTCAACCTAACACTAATGATTAGAGTAAATCCGGTAAGGAAATGATAATTCCTTGAAAAAGGCTTGAGACTAGAATTTGTTACCGCTATAACATGGATAGAGGCACAGTGGTACCGTATTCAACGCAGGTGCACCTCACAGCCAGCTTCCTCTCGTTTGGTGTATCCACCAAAGTCCGTGGACTGCAGGTGTATTTGACGCCGAACCATTCGTCAGGTGCATCTCAACGTCTGGTTCGGTTCATCATGGGAAATGATCAGATTGGGCCCCAGAGCTCTAGAAAAGTCGCCTACTTGGGACCTTGTGTCTCGCAAGTAGTCGAACCTGGGCACGACCTGCGCTCCGTCAGACCTGACCACACAAGGTAACGAATTTTTCCTTTGACGACATCGACAAATTTGACTCGACATTTTTAGGGCGCGTAACAATTTTGCATTTTACGATTTTGACGGACAGTCCGCTTAAAACGAAGTGGACGGTCCACCTATCGAGAACGGGACCGTCCGACTGAATTTTTTGCAACTTCGGACTGTCCGAAGACAGTTGTGACACTTTTTTTTCATAATGTACAGTTCCGCGATCACTGTACAAGCGTTACGCAATTCTCTTAAGCTCGCAAATGTCGTTATCGAATCAATTTTTTTTTATGGGTTGTCTCTGGTTGGTCAATGTCGATTCGTGAAGTAGCCTCGTACGTTTTTGTTGGTGGACGAGGTGACTCGACAGTTTTTGCGTCGCCCTCCAATCGTGTGCAAGGACTGTCGGACAGTCCGTTTGGGATTCGGACCGTCCACGGTTCAGATTTCGGACCGTTGAAGTGGGAAAAAGTGTCACTACAGTCCGTTTTGTTGGCGATGTCGCCAACACCTTAGCGAACATGATTACGACATTGTGCGAAGCTTGTTACCGTTTCGCTACCCGGACGGTCCACGGTTCGAACCGTCGGGTGCAAAATGGTTACGCGCCTTAAATTGGCTAAGTTTCCTCTCGTGCTTCATTCCTTCGAAGGGGCCTCAGCCCTAAACATCTTGCCGCACGGTGTTTAGGGTTGATGCTTCCCCAATTATATGCCATCCGAATGGGGTTTATTTTTTGTACCATAGCGATGTTGTTTTTTTTTGGGTTAAACAGTTGTTTTTCTGGGTATTTTTTATGACGAGTCACTAGCGAGTTCCGTCAGCCCCAGGTCAGTAGGTGGTGACCTGGCGAGAAGGCTAGGCTCGGTCTAACTGCCCAGGTGAGGTGGTTGCTTCGGGGCTACGAAGTAGGTGCGCGACTCAGGAGGCCCCAAATCGGCCACGCTACTCCGGGGCCCCTTTCTGATCTTTTCCCGTTCATCATCCCTCGGATCAAGCCAGTTGTATTCTTGGGATTTCTCCGAGCCTGTCAAAGCCGAGATTCGGTGCAGTGCAGCACAATCGTGGAGCTCTGAGGCCCCTCGATGAACTCCAACAAACCGCTAAATCCCCGAGTGTAACCGCAAGCAACTCCCGGTGAAGCGGCTTGGAAACCTCTAGACCAGGCCTAGGTTGCAAGCACCAATCACCACCCACCACCCTTCTTCATGTCCATGCCACGTAGCTCCCTTTGGGCTTGGGCTAGGAGGAGATTCTGGGGGAGGCAGCGCGGCACTCTCAGTACAGTTCAGTGTTGCACCGCCTTGATCTCAACTTTTCGTCGCCAATTCTGACGTTGCAGTTGCGGCAAGCAAAGTTGGCTGAGGGCGACGTCAGGTTGTACAACCTCCTGTACGCCTACTGCGGTTAGCTTTGTTTCAGCAAGGTGCAGAGCGGTACGAGGCGAGAACCGCTTTTCACCGTGCTGGACCATCCTGAACCACAAAACAAGAACTGTAAACGCGTGAGAATTGTATAACCTGACTTCGCCCTGATCACACATATGGTCCGTTGAGACAAGACTTCGTTACTGCCAATCCAGCAAGCCACCACCAAGCACAGCAGGCTGCTCCTCTCGCGATCTCGTCCACTTCGCCTTCTCACCGCAGTCCGCACGCATCGTCGCGTCTCACCCGCCGCCATGGCCACTGTGTCGCTCGCCGCTGCTCGTCCGACCGGCCTCGCGCTCGCCGCCGGCGGCGCATCGCATCGCGATCCCGCCACTACCGTCTCCACCTCGCTCCGCGCCGTGCCTCCGTCCGCCGGAAATCCGGGTCCGATAAGGGCAATCCGAAATGTGGCAACCAACGCTGTGAGTTTTCGCGCTGTATTTACACGCCGGAAACGGAGGGCCGAGTAAGGAAAGCCAGCGGGGGACGACAGCAGAGAGGTGTATCGACGCGAAGATCGATCGCACGTATTCGCTCCGCAACCGCGTCCGTCCAGAAAGTTGTGCCGTTTCATGCCACCGCCTCGTCACTCCACCCTTCATCTCCGACACACCTTTCCCCCTCTTCCCCCCGCCCTCCCCCAGGTGGCGGAAGAGCAGGCTGCTGTGGTGGCGGCGCCCATGGCGGACGCGGAGCTGAAGCGCGGCATCGCGGAGTTCTACGACGAGTCGTCGGCGGTGTGGGTGGACATCTGGGGCGAGCACATGCACCACGGCTACTACCCTTCACCCGCCGAAAAGTCCGCGCAGACCAACGGCAGCGCCGTCTCCGCCGTTAACGGCAGCGCTATTAACGGGAACGGGAGCGCGGTTAGCAGCGGCGCGAGCGTGGATCACTTCGCGGCGCAGGTGGAGATGATCGAGCGCGTGCTTGCATGGGCTACGGCCGACGGTGAGCAGCTGTAGCGGCGAGCAGCCGAGAGGTGACGAGAGCCGCCGCGGCGCGCGGTGCCATTGAGCTTTTTTTACCCGAGTCGTCCCTGAGCCCGCTCGGTCAAGTGGCAGCCTTGATCGACTAACATGCATAATAGTCTGTTTCACCCTGTCATCACTTCCGCTGCCATCCCGCTCCCCGCCGACCCGCAGACAGCGAGGGCTGGAAGCCGCGGCGAGCGGTGGACGTGGGGTGCGGCGTGGGCGGCAGCTCGCGGCACATGGCGCGCAAGTACGGCGCGGAGGTGGACGCCATCACGCTGAGCCCGTGGCAGGCGGCGCACGGCAACCAGCTCTGCAAGGACGCGGGGCTCGGCCAGCAGGTGTGTGCGCGCGGGGTCGCGCACCTGGATCCGCTTCCACTCGCCTCCGTCACTCGCCTCCGTCGCTCGCCTCCGCCGCTCGCCTCCGTCGCTCCCCTATCCCGTCCGCCTCCCTTCCACCCGTTTCCTCTTCCCTTCCTTGCTCTCTTCCCCGCACGCCCTCCTCTAAAATATCGTCAAGATCTCTTCGTTCGCTTTTCCCCGTCGCTCCGCCGCCTCCCTGCCCTTCCGCGCTGCGCCTCCCCCCTGCGCGTCTCTCAGGTGCGGCTGCAGGTGGCGGACGCGATGGCGCAGCCGTTCAACGAGGGGACGTTCGACCTGGTGTGGTCGCTGGAGAGCGGCGAGCACATGCCGCGCAAGCAAGAGGTGCGCGCGCATGGGAACCGGGGCGCACGCGCAGTGAGGATGGGGGAGAGGCGAGGAGAAAAGCGTGGTGGGATGAGGAGCACAGGACTGGAGGAAAGGATGAGCAGCGAACGGCAAGCGGAAGGATTGTGAGGAGTACGGGAAACGGAAAGCCGGGGAGGGGGAGGGTGGAGGAGTTGTGAGAGAAAGGCATGCTGGGATGTGTTCCCGTGGCCTCACATCTTCCGACTTCTCCCACATCCTGCGCGTTCTCCCTTCCCCCCTATTCTCCTGATTCCCACCCCCTCCGCCTCTGTGTTCAGTTCGTGCGCGAGCTGGCGCGCGTGGCGGCGCCAGGCGGGCGCATCATCATCGTGACGTGGTGCCACCGCGACCTGCAGCCAGGGGAGACAGAGCTGTCCCAGGGCGAGCAGGTGCACTGTTGGGGTGGGGAGGAAGGGGGGAAGGGGGGAAAGGGGGAGGATGTGTGGGGAGTGGTGAGGGCACTGTGCAGGCGCGGCCATGCACGTGGCAGCACATGCCCGCCCATGACCCATGATTTTGCGACACACCCCAGTATCTGCACTGCATCATCAGACTCCTCCATGCCTCCCTCTTCCTCGCCCACCTTCCGCTCCCACGGCCACCCTGTGTGCCACCTGCTCCTTTCTCACTGTGTCCTTCAGCCCTTTCCTCTCCGTTACTCTCCACGTTATTCTCCTTCTACCTAGCCTCATCCACTCCCTTCTCCTGCCTCCCCTTCCGTCTTCTCCTCCCCGCCTCCCCTTCCGTCTTCTCCTCCCCGCCTCCCCTTCCGTCTTCTCCTCCCCGCCTCCCCTTCCGTCTTCTCCTCCCCGCCTCCCCCCAGGCTCTCCTGCAGCGCATCTGTGACGCCTACTACCTGCCCGCGTGGTGCTCGCCCTCCGACTACGTGCACTTCGCCACTGACGCTGGGCTGCAGGTACGACCGAGGCAGGTACGGCCGAGGCAGGTACACTGCGGCAGGTACGGCCGAGGCAGGTACAGTGCGGCTGGTACCGCCGGTACAGGTATATGGTGCAGGACACCTGATGCGACACCATACGTTCCTCCCCAAGGCGCTCCATGATGAGGTGCTTGGCCCTGGTGTCGTTCTAGCGATCGAGGCACCGCTCCAGGTGCCAGGTTGTGGGGAGACACAGCATTGAATGGGGCAAGCACCCGCCGGTTTCACACCCCAGCTCATGCACAAGTGCATATCCGTGCATACGCAAATACACGCACTCTGACGCATCCACCCATGCATGCATGCGCACCTGCGCGCTGCACTGTCACTGCCTTGTTTCTTCGTTGGTATCCTTCTGACTAAATCTGGCCAACTTGTGGGTGGCACCGCATCCCCTCTAACCCCCAGGACGTGCGCGTGGCGGACTGGACGGAGAACATCTCCCTCTTCTGGCCGGCCGTCATGCGCTCGGCGCTCACACCCAAGGGCATCTGGGGGCTGCTGTCGTCAGGGTGGAAGACGCTCAAGGGCGCCGTGGCCATGCTGTGGATGATGCAGGGGTACAACTCAGGGCTCATCAAGTTCGCCCTCATCACCGCCAAGAAGCCATTGTGAGCAGGTGAAGTGGGGCTATTTCCTGCCTCCTCTGCTCTCAGTTTGTACGGGCTTATTTTCTCGTCGTACTGCATCCCTTCCCATGTTGTTGCGGTCTCGCTCACTCTCGAAAGCTCTCTTCTTTGTTTTTTTGTTTGTTTTTTTGCAGCTGAATTGGGACCCAATGCAGTGTAATCTGAATCTCCTCGTTGTATTTAACCCGGTGCTGCTGCTGGTCGTTGAATCAAAAGGAATGTCTGACATGTGCATGTATATTGATTGGTCATAGTTTTTATTCCCGAGAAAAGATTAAAACAGCAGGGTTTGGACAACCTTGCAAATTTCCTTTTCGGTTGATTTACACAATTCAGAAGTTCGATAAGTTTAAACACTATAGTAGTACCATAGTGTGTGTGCATGTTACTGTAGCATGTGTCCCTTCGCGTAAGTTACATGTACTTCCGAAACGTGCACTTCCGAAAGTTGGGGTTGTACGCGTTTGAGTAAACCCCTGTAAAGAGAAGGGTTTTTCCTTACACTACCCCCCCCTTTAAGAAAGGTGGTCAATATCTGCAGCTCGCTTGCGGACGAGGTAATCGCCAAGGAGCGGAGAAGCCTCAAGCGAGGCGGATGGCACCCAAGTGTCGTCCTCACTGGTGCGGTCAGTCCAGCGGATTAGAAAATCCACGTGGCGTCCAGAAGCGTCGAGCCGAACACGATGCGCCAAAATCTTGGACGGGTCAAGTGTCGGTTCTGGGACAGGTCGGGCTGTCGGGGCGGCGTTCTGGCGCGCGATGTCTGTCGTGGCAGGCAGGAACTTGCGAAGGAGGCTGACATGGAAGGCGTCATGTATACGCCAATCGTCGGGTAGCAGTAGCTTCGCGGTGACAGGTGTCACCATCTTGATGATCTTGAAAGGCCCACAAAATCGTGGCCGTAGTTTTGAAGGGCCGGGCAGGTGCAGGTTCTTCGTGTCAAGTAGCACTAGTTGCCCAGCTGCCAAGACGAGTTCCCGTCATAGAAGGTCGGTGTATTTACGGGAAGTGGTGTTCGCCTTGCGAATTGCGTCCGCAGCCTTTTCGCGAACTTCTTGAAGTTCCGTCACAAATGTTTGTGACCTCGGGACCGGGTTGTCTAGTGTAGTCGTCGTAGGCACCGTCGGGTCCATCCCGTAATTTAGGAAAAATGGGGAGTGATTAGTCGTGCTGGACGGGGCGTTGTTGAACGCGAACTCCAGCATGGCGAGCGAGTTTTCCCAGCGAGCGGGATCGGGGCAGTTTGTCCTGATCAGCTGCTCCATCGTCTGACTGGTTCGCTCAGTCTGGCCGTCCGTTTGCGGGTGGTATGCCGATGAGAACTGTAGCTTCGTGCCGTACTGCGCCTACGTCTCCTTCCAGAATTTCGATGTGAACTTCGGGTCCCTGTCGCTGATGATCGCTGCGGGGATTCCGTGCAATCGCACGACGGTTGAGATGAAGAGGCGCGGCGTTTCTTCGGCTGTGACTGTTGTACGACACGGTGCGAAGTGCGCCATTTTCGTGAGGCGATCGATGACGATGAGAACAGCGTCGTTGCCGGACGGCCCAGCTGGCATCCCCGTGACGAAGTCCATCGTCACTTGTTGCCACGGTCGTTCGGGTGGCTCGAGGGGTTGAAGCAGTCCAGTTGGCCGCTGACGTGTCGATTTCATGGCTTGGCACACCCTGCATGAGGACACATATCGCTGCACGTCGTTAGCAGAATCAGGCCAATAATATTGACGGTGCAACGGCTTCTGGATTTTATCAACCCCGAAATGTCCGGAGAGGTTAGAATCGTGGACCTCCTGAATGAGGAGTTCACGCAGCAGTCGGTAAGTGGGAACCCAAATCCGGTCAGTTCCAGCTTTTATGTAATAATTCCCCTTATGCGTCGTTGCCTGCTGGTGATTTCCAGCCGTGAAGAATGGGTCCGTAGTGTAGTCGTGGGTGAATAGCCCCGTAAGTAGCGGGTTCGAAGGGTGATGAGCACTGCAGCGGATTGAACTGTCGGTCGGGTAAGGGCGTTGGCGATGTTATTCGCCCCTTTTTTGTACGTGATGCGGTTGGTGAAGTGGCTCTCCATGTAGTCCAGCCACCGAATTTGTCGCGGGTTGAGGTTGGGCTGAGCTCGCATGTACTGTAGGGACGTGTGGTCCGTGCGAACAGTGACGTCGGCGCCCACCAAGTAGCAGCGCCACAGTTTGAACGCGTGTATTATGGTGAGCATCTCCTTGTCATGTATCGGGTAGTTGCGCTCGGCTGCCTGCAGTTTGCGTGACTCGTAGGCGATCGCCTGCAGCCCGTTCCCAAAATCCTGGAGGAGTACAACTCCAATGGCAAAATCAGAGGCGTCGGTGAAGACTTCGAACGGCTTCGATGGGTCGGCAATGCGCAAAACCGGAGGGGAAACGAGAAAATTCTTCAACTCCTGAAAAGCCGCCTCAGCTTCCTCCCCCCACACAAAATTCCTGTCCTTGTGCAGCAGGTCGGTTAGCGGGCCGGTTATCCCCGCCATATTCGGGATAAACCGCCTCACGTAATTCACAAAGCCCAGAAAACGCTGAAGTTCCGTGATGTTAGTCGCGGAATTACACTCCTGAATAGTCTTGATTTTCGCTGGGTCGATCTTGATGCCGTCGCGGGAGATGACGTGCCCCAAAAACTCCAACTCCTGCTTAAAGAACTCGCACTTAGAGCCCTTGGTGATGAGGCGGTTCTCCTGCAACCGCTTAAACACTGCGTTGAGGTCTCGGAGGTGTTGTTCTCTTGTCCTGCTAAATATCAGAATATCGTCCAAATAGACGACCACACACTTGTCGAGAAATTCCCGGAAAACCCTGTTCATAGTCAGTTGAAATGTCGAAGGCGCGTTTGTGAGGCCGAACGACATCACTGTGAACTTGTAGCTTCCGTAGCGGGTACGAAACGCGGTCTTGTGACAGTCGTCGGCGAAGACCCAAATCTGGTGGTAACCGCCATGCAAGTCAATTTTCGAAAAGTAGCGAGCACCGCGAAGTTGATCGAGGAGGTCGTCAGTGCGTGGGATTGGGTAGCGAGATTTGATGGTCACCCGGTTGAGCGCGCGATAGTCGATACACATGCGAAGCCCGCCATCCTTTTTCGGCGTGAACAGGATAGGGGCTGCGAAGGGAGATGTACTGGGTCGAATAAAGCCCTTCTCCAAAAGTCCCTCAATTTGTTGTCGCAGCTCCTCGAGTTCCGGTTGGGTCAACCGCCACTGTGTACGAACAGTCGGTTGCGCGCCAGGCTCCAGCTGGATTTTGTGGTCCTCGGGGCGTTCGGGTGGCAGTCCAGGTGGCAGATCGTCGGGGAAGATGTCCGGGTACTGTCGAATCAGCTCCGCTAAATCAGGTAGTACAGCTGCGCACAGCTTCTCGATGTCCTTTCCGTCGGTGTCGGTTGCCAGCTCGCGCAAACATACGGCGAACAGCTGCGCGCCTCGGTTGAAGTGGCGGGCAATAGTGATGGCTTTGACGCACGGGGCTTGGATGTAGTCAGGTGTCGATGCAAGAAGCTTAATTAGCCCCTCGTGCTTGCTGATGTTGCACGATCCCGTTGTCCAGTCGATGACGGGGTTGTGCCGTCATAGCCAATCACGTCCCAGTAGCACGTCGCAGCCATCCAGCGTCGTCGCGAGAAACTTCATGCTGAAGCCGAAATCGTCGCCGCATTCGATCCGCACCGTCCGTGTTTCTTCCAAAATCGCCAGAGGTGTCCCATCCACGAGGCGAGCGTCGATTTCAGGCAGACACCTGTCAAGTTGCAGCTTGCATTTTTTTGCTGTCGCCAAGTTGAAGAGGCTATGGCTGCCCCCCCCCGTCGACGAATATTTTCAAGTAATTTTTTAACACTTTGCCAACGACTTGCACAAGGTGATCAACATGGTTATCCCCGTTATTCGGTCGAGTGCGATCGATTGCATGAATCGGAACCACGACAGAGCACAGTCAGTAAGGGGCCCGTCTGTTACTGACTCTTCCCATTTCCCGGCTCTTTCCTGTCGTTCCTCGTCGCCGGCGTTCTCTCGGGGCAGTCTGCATATTTGTGACCCGGCTTCCCGCACTTAAAACACAACCCTGTGTAGGGGCGGTCTGGTGCATGGACTCCGTTGATCGTGGCCCGTTGGGTCTGGCCGCGAAAACGATTTCCCTCCCAGAAAATTGACCTCGCGTACTGCATCGGCGCGTCCGTGGATTCTGCCAACCATGCTGCTTCCAGGAACGATGTCGGGCGGCATCGGCGCACCTCGTACTATATCTCATATTTAAGGCCGCTCACGTACTTATCCAACCGCTCCGCCTCCGACATATCGTCCACTTGGTCGGCGAGTGCCATGAATGACGCTGTGTAGTCTTGGACAGATGCCAACTACGACCAAGCACGCAGCTTCATGCGAGCTTGTTCCGAGCCGGATATGTGCTCGAAGCGATCTCGTAAGGCTGCGCCCCACTCCTTCCACGTGCGTATCTTGGTCACCGCTTGACTGTTGCCCTCGCCTTCTTCATCGGGCGACTCCTGACGCGCTTCACCTCTGGCGTAGCTCGGCGTTTTCTCCTCGTAGTGTTGTCACTTCTGCCGATAGTGTCTGCACTGTTGCCTGTAGCTCTCCCATTTGTGCCAACATCTTTTTCAATGTCTCCTGGTCCATGAGTCGCACGCTTCGTCTGGTGGGCAGAGGGGTATCCATTGCCTTTCGTTGAGTGAAAAACACAAACTATCGGAGTCGGGCAGGATTGAATTAACAAACCTTGCAGCCAACCGTCATGTAGTCCACTATACCGACCACACCCGTGCCACCAAACTACCCTCGAAAAACGGGGTGAACTAGGAAAGTAGCTCTGATACCAGGTGTTATGAGTTGTAAAGGAGAGTGCGCAGAATAACGAATAACGAAGATGTGACTCAATGAACTGACAATACAATGAAGGCACGCGCTAATATAGTGGGTCAACCTAGCTAGGCGGGAACCTCGGGAACACGAGGTTGGGTGCAGGTTGGGCAAAGGAAAGGCCGAAGGCAACGCGAGGTTGCTTCGGCAGCAAGCAAAGTGGCCGAACGTGCACTTCCGAAAGTTGGGGTTCTACGCGGTTGAGTAAACCCCTGTAAGGAAAAAGGTTTTTCCTTACATAAAC